TTATCCAATACACTATGATCCTATTTTCACAAGATAAAGAAATATAAATGTACATTAAAAACTAGAGATGTGTGTTTACTTGCTTAAAATAATATAATATTGTAAAAGTGTTTTTAAACCATTTTTATAAATTTTACACAATTCTTATAATTAATATATATTACTTTTGGAAGATAGCTTATATTTTAGAGAGAGGAGTTGATAAATGCTGGGTACACCAACGTTTTCTGCCATTTCCAAGGTTCAGAGCTGGGTGTTGGGTGGGATGGATGGCCTTGGAAGAGAGGAGGGGTGGGATATAAGTGGTGAGGGTCTAGGGTAATGAATTCAATACCATCTCCACTGGCTTGTGGTTGACTTTGTGTCCGGGCAAATAATAACCTTGTGGGCATTGTAATTTCCCATGTAGTTTGCCACTCATGCCATTGGAAGCAGGCCTGCTTCCAAGTAGGGATATGAATGTGAATCAGTACCAAGTAAAGAGTATTTATTTTCCTCTTACCCAGCCTCATGTCTGTCCTCTTCATTTTTATTGGAGAGTCATTTTGTCTGTGCATCAGCTGAGACCAACTGTTATATTGTGATGTTGTCACATTAAAGTATTTCCCCCTTTGCATGGAAAGAAAAGTGTCTGATTAGCAGCATGCTTTATACCCAGACGTTCTCTACTTTTTCACATGAGGGTCAAGCTGGGGGGAATCAGCAGGACTCTTCAGTTTGGATTTTGCTCTTAAATATGTATCATCCCTCTCTAAACCAATTGATGGATTTGTTCATGCATATTGATTCTGATTAACTTTTCTATTGCAACAGTTGGCAACTGGTCACATCAAGGAAATTTATAGCAAAGCATAATAATGATAATTCTTTAAAGAGAGTTCAAGATGAGAAAACGATTTTGTTCCCTGTTCCACATAACCAACTTCTGTTATACACTGATTTAAAAAAATCCCGTCTTTTAAAAAATGAATGTAGTATCTTTTTGACTAAAAAATTAGTTTATTCACCCAACTTTTTAAAAGTTACTCATATTTACGATGCTAAAGCATATTTAAGAAGATTTAAAATTCTTTTAAGTAGGAAAAAAAATTGAATAGTTTAAAGATGATTTCAGGTTAGATTAAAATCTAAACCAGACTATCTTCTCTGTAACTTGTCCTCTGGCTCCAGAATCCTGAATCATTACTCAGAAGCAGACTTCCTGTACCTTTGTATTCAATGGCTCATTTAACCAGGAATTAACTGTTAGCATGTGCTTGATAAAAGCTTTCTTTTTTTTTTTTTTTAAGATTTTATTTATTTATTTGACAGAGAGAGACACAGCGAGAGAGGGAACACAAGCAGGGGGAGTGGGAGAGGGAGAAGCAGGCTTCCCGCCGAGCAGGGAGCCTGATGTGGGGCTCCATCCCAGGACCTGGAATCATGACCTGAGCCGAAGGCAGACGCTTAACGACTGAGCCACCCAGGCGCCCCGATAAAAGCTTTCTGATAGATATATTGTTCATGAAAAGAAAGGGACATGCAAATGCCCATTTCCCTGATTGTTGAAGTCAGATTTCTAATTAGATAAAATCTGTATTACTGTTCTGCAGAGGTGCCTTCCCCAAATGATTGCCTAATATCTGTGCTCCTCACCTGTGAATAGGCGAGCATGCAAAAATGTGTGATAAGTCAATCTGAAAAATTTTCTTGTAACAGGTTAAAGACATTGTCTATTATTTTATTCAGTGACCCTTATCTTGGAGTGAACCTAAATCATCCCAGATGTCAACTCAAGAAGACTCTCCAAATGAACTTAGAGACCTCCTTTTGTCACAAATCGAAAACTGTATCATTCCTTTTTGCCTTGATCAACAGAGACCTAAAACTTAAGCTTAGGTCTTAATTTAAGTGACTATCTCATACCTAAAAGACGAAAGTATATATAGATTCTTGGCTCTAAATTTTCTTTTGGCTGTGTTTTAGCTGCCCTACTATTTAATAGAGGTTTTATAATCATAAACTGCCAGAGATGATTTTCTATGTTCTTTTTTTTTTTTTTAAGACTTTATTTATTTGTCAGAGAGAGAGAGAGCATAAGCGGGGGAGCTGCAGGCAGAGGGAGAAGCAGGCTCCCTGTTGAGCAAGGAGCCCGATGCGGGACTCGATCCCAGGACCCTGGGACCATGACCTGAGCGAAAGGCAGATGCTTAACTGACTGAGCCACCCAGGCGTCCCGATTTTCTGTGTTCTAGGTATAAATGATAAACATAATTCTCTTGACAGGAAAAATATGGTGAACTTCTCTTTTCTGTTGTATACATGCTGCCATACGGCAGTATGGCAAGTTGAGATGTTACAGAACTTTTTATCCTGTATTTTTTTTTTTTTAAAGATTTTATTTATTTATTTGAGAGAGAGAGAGCACATGAGAGGAGGGAGGGTCAGAGGAAGAAGCAGACTCCCCGCCGAGCAGGGAGCCCGATGCGGGACTCGATCCCGGGACTCCGGGATCACGACCTGAGCCGAAGGCAGTCGCCCAACCCACCGAGCCACCCAGGCGCCCCTTTATCCTGTATTCTTGTGTTGGAAGTTCAGTTATATAAAGACTGTGAAAAATGAAAATCTTTTAAAAATAGTCCCTTTGATTATTATTTCGGTGTTTAATTATAATACTAAATACTGAAATACATTGACCTGCTCTTAACTTAAACGTATCCCAGTACAAAGTAGGATATTTCCTCTTTCCGTTCCTTTTTCCCTTTTCCCGAAAGATACTCCTTATAGCAGACTGACTGAGAAATTGGAATCAACCAAATGTTCATCAAAAGAAGAATTAATAAATTGATAAGTTCATATTCTGAATATTCTGTAGCAGTTTAAAGAAAAGCAGATCTGTACACTACATACACATTATCAAATCACATTGATAGATACAAAGTGAGGTTGCAAAATACAGTTTCACACAGGCGAAAAATTTAAATTACTTTTTTCAAGGATTTATTGATGAATATAAATTCTCAATACAGATTTAGGAAGAATACATGCCAAATGCCTATCTAATTTCTATGCAGGGAAGGAATTGTGATATTTGTGGAAGTTCAAACGGACTTTTTTTTTTTCTGTAATTTTTCAAACTTTTTACAAATGTGTAAACTTGCAATTGACAAGTTTTAAGAAAATATTATATGAAAGTACCCAACATGAATAGCCTATGCTATATCTCTAGCTTTAATAACTGATTTCGTGTCCCTGGGTGGATTCTGTGTTTTGCTGACACAATATTGGGACATTGAAAAAGAGGAAAAGATCATTTACAAAAAATCAAAAACTAAAAAAAAAAAAAAAATTACTATAAAATATATTTTTTTCTACTGATACCTCATGTTCTTCTGTTGACCTTTCCTAACCCTTAAGAAATCATGGAAATTTTAAGATAACAGTACAATGACTGTGGGTTGAGGCACAGCTAAGTTGGACTGAAGTCAGGTTGGCAAATTGTCATGCTGTTTTTGTATTTATTTCTTTCAACTTTAACACCCACAATTTATTAAGTGAGACTGTGGATAAAAGAGGAAGCTCAGAATCCTGTTTGGACACCGTTTAGGAAGGAAACCAGGTCTTTATGGGGCACCCCCTTCCTCTTAGCCACTGGCCAGGAAAACCATCTTTCTGTTTAAAACCTATTCAATCTGAGAGGTGGGGTGACTTTGGGAAGGAAGGTGACCTCTCCCTTGTAAAGTGGAATGGCTCTGTTTCCCCCATGACTGATGCAACTCATTTCCACCACTGTTTATAAGAACACTTGTGCTGAATGCTTGTAATGACAGAAATAGTCAGTTAAAATATGGCTCAAATTTCATGCCCTCAAATTTCCTACGTTATTTCAAATCTTTGATCATTATAATCTCAAGTGGAGCTTTTGGTTAGTTCCAAGTTTTGCTGATGTCCTTTGGGAGTTAACAGGGATGCTTCTTATAAGCCAGAAGTTTAATCAAGGCATAGACTGTAATCATAAAAGCATGGCTGCTCTCGAATCTGGTAAGAGAAGGCCTTGATGGGACCCACATCATTTCCAAAATGGTACAGGAGCTATTTTTCTGGGATGCCTTACATGTTGGGGTCCACTGGCAGATTAGGGTGTGGAAGTGATGTGACCTACTGGCTGAGAGAGGACATCAGAGGAACTTGCTTATTTTGAAAACTTCTCAGCGTTTTGTGCATTGTAAATACCTTTGGATTTTGACCTCAGCTTCAGCTACGCTCATGGATTTAATTTGCATTGCTCCATGGCTGTGAAACACTGACTATCTTAGTAAAATCAGTTCCTTTATTCATTTCTTAAAAAAATATTTTAATGATCTCTTTATTTTGGGGTAATTTTAGATTTACAGGAAAGTTACTAGGATAATCTAGAGTTCCTGGATACCCCTCACCTTGCTTCCCCTAATGTTAACTCTTCACATTGCCATGGTACATTTACAAAACCAAAAAAAGAAAACAGACATTGTGCATTACTGTTTGCTAAACTTTGGTCTTTATTTGGATATTACCAGTTTTTCCATTAATGTCCTTTTTCTGTTCTGGGATCCAGCCCAGGGTACCACATTGTATTTAATCATCTTATCTCCTTCTGTCTTCTGAATTGTGACAGCTTCCGAGTCTTTCCTTTTTCCCATGACCTTGGCAGTCTTGAGAAGTACTGGCCAGGAATTTTGTAGAATATTTATCATTTTTAATAAATGAAAATGTGTAACTTCTGGGATTTTTGAAGGAAAGCCCATGTAGACCTGCTAATAATTTGTACCACTGATTTTCCATTAATAACCGTTTCAGCCTGTTGGTTGTTACTCTATCTTTTTATCAGTTATAACAGTATTCTAGAATTTAAAGTTGATGTATGATGGGTTTAATATTTGCTGAATAGCTGCTTTATCTGTGTGTGTATGGTATGGTCTCAACTTTGCCAGTTCAGTTTAAACCTCCTAGAAAGTTGATATTTTATCTATTGTTTATGACAGATTCGAGATGGACAACCAAATTGCTACGTGTTGAAGAATAAAGATTTAGAACAAGCTTTTAAAGGAGCTATTTACTTGGAGATGGACCTCATATATAATCCGGTAAGTCTAGCTGGGCCAGCCATACCTCCCAGGTTCTCTCTACCTAAAGTAAAAGATGACCAGCCTGGCAATACTCAAATCTCAAATACCTGTAAAATGTTTCACACATATTGCAGCTAGAGAGAGAGAACAGGGTTTTCAACCTCAACTATAAAATCTGTGAGGGACAATTCAGTTTTCAACTGGTATTAATCCCCTTGAGCCAGTAGAAATGAAGGTGTTTAATTCCCAGTACATCTAAATGTCAAGGAAAAAAAAATAAAAATAAAAAAATAAAAGGAGAAATTAGTTTGTTAGCTTTATTTCCGATAATCTTCTCGAAGGCCACAGTTGGTGTCAGACAGAGGTATTTTCAAGCCCCTGACATGTAATTTAGTTGTTACAATAGATGTCCTGCTATCCAGTACTATGAAGAGAAGTAGTTACTCATCTGGAAGCTACAGTTAAAGGAGGAATTTTTAAAACCTGTCTTCAACCTTCAGTTTAATATAGAATACGTAAACACTCATTTGCCAATCTTTAGCTATGGGCATAAAATCTGTTTTTTTATACCATGGATTTATTATGTTTAGTTTTATAACCTATTCCTTGCATAAATATACTCATAACATCTATAATAATACCTAGTTTCAGGTTTTTTTTAAAGTGGAGATCTACTTTAAAGATACACAACAATCTGAATATAGAATTTTCCAGACTGTTTTTTTTTCCATAAAATCATTACCTCAATATCTTTTTAGGGACTGACCTTTATCAAGGTTTTCTAGAGCAACGCAAATTTCAAGTCTTCTGGTCCATGCTTGGATTTCAATGATTTGTATGATACTTGATTAAAATATGGAATTATAATAATGGGCAAAACCATCAGAAACAAGATTGGGAGTTAGCAACAGTTGATTCTTGGTAGGCATGAGATTTGATTGTTGTGAGCAGAGATTCCTTAGCATGCAGAGGAGTGGGCTACTTAGCCGTGACCATGCATCTGCTATGGTGTCAGCAGCAGGTTCCAGAAAGGAAAAGGAGAGCGCAGGTTAATCCAGTCAGCGGTATAAATGAATGTAGGGTAATGGAGCTTTTACAAGTAATTCTAAGAATGGCTGCCTTTTAGTGGCCACCTACAATGGGCCGAGCTCTGACATTATTGCATTTAATCCTCACAATAAACCTAGTAAATAGGTATCATTAATGCCATTTTATGATGAGCAAATGGAGTTAGAGAACTGATTTACTAATAAATGAGTGAGCATACAGATCCACATCTTTCTGATTCTGCAATGATTCCTATGCTACCCTGCTTCTTGTTTAGTGTATTTAAGAAATTATTCATAAAGTCAATGGCAGGGACATTTTTATATTTTTTT